TCTGTACTCTGCGTCACACCACTGACCTGGCGGAGTTAGTCCGGGGCAGGGTAGGGGTTAGGTGGGGCAACTGGTGGCGAGTAACTTTTAAGGCCTGGCAAGTAGCTCAGGACTTGAAATTTTGAGCCCTGGGCTAGACTATGCTGGATGTCCTCCAGCCAGGAAATGAGGCACACTATCTGACTTGCCACAGCTGTGAAAAGCTCAGTGTACAGTGACATCAGAGCAAGACATTTCAGTAAAAATGTCTGTACATTTTCTCACCAGTATAGTTTACATATGCCTTTTAAATGATAAGATCCTATTACTACAGATTTACGACACTGAATACTGAACCGATGGCTATGTCCTTCGTATTTTCTTGTTTATTAAATAAAAATTGTTAATAAAAAAAAGTCTTTACAACTGTGCAAGACTGAAGTTTAACTTAGAGAACTATGGGGTTAAGGCTTTTCCCCATAGTTCTCCTTAGGGTAACGGGAGGATACAAACTAGCGTCCTCCCGTTACCCTAGGCTCAGTATACCGCAAACTGCTGCTCGCGGTATACTGAGACGCTGAAGCGGATCCCGACAATTATGCCTGGATCCGCCCAGCTGCGTGACCGACAGCTGGCTCTGCCTATCTAGAGGCAGAGCCAGCTGTACCCGCCCCTCCCGTTCCGCCAGTCAGCGCTGGTGGGGAGGGGGGAATCCAGCCCCTCCCATCACGGCAGAGAGCTGTGACAGGATCGAGGTGAGCAAACGCCGGTGTGTGTTTGCTCACCTCCCGATCTACTGAGCCAACCTGTGGCAGTCTCATTGTCACATGTCGGCTAGAACTATGAGGTGAGAGTGAAAAGCACTCCTCATAATTCTCCTTTTAAACACCAAGCCAATTTAGGCAATATACAAAGAGGAAGTCTAACATGTCAGACACTCCAGAATAACACATTGCAATCTGATGCTACAATCTAATAAGGTTTTGCATGACACATGTTCTATATTTGCACCATTCATCTTAAACCTTTGTAGATATGATTGTAATGTGTGGCAGACACACACGTTGTGGCCAATTCAACACCACGTTTTAGGATGAACTTAAACTTTCCAGCATATCCAAACAGGGTTCATACAAATTTTATGAATACGTTTGATCCTGTGGTAGCCCATATACATTAGGTGTATGTATAGTCAAAATAAAGGTAATATTTTCGTTTGGGGTAGAGTAGAGAGGGATTAAAACCATTCATTTTTTTGCTGTCTGAACCTTTTGGGGATATTTCCCTTTGCTTCCTGTCCCAGAGACAACAGGAAGTGAGGAAATCTCCCAAACGGAGGTGAACGCACATCTTAGTTGTCCCCAGAACAGGTGTTTTCATTGGATGAATTTACCTTACCCTTGTTCTGAGGACAACTCCAAAATCCTGGATTTCCCTCAACTTTTTTTCCTCAGAGACAATGATGAGGTATAAATAGAATGGCGAGTTGCCCCAATGAAGGCGCACAAATCAATTAAAAACTTGATGATCTAATCCGTCCTCTTTCTATCCTAATCAAAAAACAAACACATTTTGCATGTAGATTTACTTGCCTTAACATTCATGCCATCATATGTACACAGTTACATTAGGCCACATTCACACCGAAAGCGTCAAACCTGCTTTTAGAAGTGTTTAAAGCACAATTGTAAATACATCTAAATTCATGTAAATCACACAAACATGTCTAAGCAGGAAAAAGGGATCTGGGAACCAGAAGTTATTTATACTTCCCAGATAACTTCTATGTTTAGAAAACCTAAATGGAGGAGTGCCAGTGTAAAGGAGGCCCTATGTTATGTATGTTTAAGAGGAGCGCCATCTAGAATCATTAAGTGATGGAACGAGAACAGACTGTATACAAATCATACTCCCCTTTCCAAAGTAAAAGGTCCAGCAACCTCCCTATATTGCTCAATCACTTCACATCCATGCAATTGGATAGTGTACTTATGGCATGAACGCCAACAATATCATTAGGACTTCCCAGGTTCAGTTGCTTTTGCGCTTGCAGTTGAGTGATCAGGTTTTACATTCTTCATAAAATAGTGAAAATGTTCACGTTCGCCTTGATGCAGGCTGGCTTGGACCCCCTAGTGCTATTTAAGAGATCCAGCAACAGAGGACAGCACTGGAGCATGGAGAGGGTCAGTAGTGCTTGCAAACATTTGCTTTTAAACATGGGGGATGGGGCGCCTAAAACATTGAGTTGGGCTTCAAGGTACAGTCCGGTCAAAGTTAAATATAAAGCCTCAGATGGTGAAAAAAGTTGACTTCCCAAACTACAGATGGCTTCCCTTTTTTACTCCAAAGTATACCTTTTAGCCCAAGCCAGATGTACAACATAGGATCGTGTAACCAGCAGCATACACTATCCCAGAGGTGGCGAACCTTGGCACTCCAGCTGTGGCAAAACTACAAATCCCAACATGCATCTGCCTCTGGGAGTTATGTCTGTGGCTATCAGAGCCTTGCAATGCCTCATGGGACTTGTAGTTCCAAAACAGCTGGAGTGCCAAGGTTTGCCACCACTGCACTATCTCCATGATGCTAGGAGACCAGTGTCAGATCATTTAGCCCTCGTTCACACCTGAACGTTTTGTAGCGCGTTCTACAAAACGCTCAAAAATATAAATCCATTGTATTCAATGGTCTCGTTCCCACCTTGGCGTATTTCCGCCCGTCCCTAACGCGCTACAAAACGGCCCACGCCTGAAAAGGTACAGGTACTACTTTGGGCCGTTTTGTTGCGCGTTTCCATTGGGATACAGCCAAGTAGCCTTCGGAAAATGCGTGACTTTACCACGAATCGTGGTAAAAAAAGCGCGACAGACGCGCATATGCAATACGCCTAGGTGTGAACGAGACCCAAGTCCTCGTCAGCAGTGCCAATGACAAGTTTTTTTGCATGCTGCCTGGTGAGTGCTGGGAAGCTTTTCGCTGTTGTACTGTATAAAGCCCTTCCATGTGCACCTTGCTGTAAAGCTGGTGACGAATTGACGAGTGCTTTTGCCATTTGATTGGCTAATAGGAGTTAGTCGCACACAACTGGACATGTTCTGTAATGTTGGAAGAGGTTTTAGTTTCCAGACACTCATTAGAAGTTTTAGACTAGAAAAACAGTCAACGTTAGCAGTTGTAGTCCTATTCAACTGGACTTGTTCTGTAGATTCCTAGGTACGCTAGGAAACCTCGTCAATGTTACAGAACAAGTCCAGTTGAATAGGACTACAACTACTAGAATCCTAGGTACGCTAGGAAACCTCGTCAATGTTACAAACTAGGTACAAGTTCCTTTCTACAAAATTTGACTTTCAAAAGCTGCTGACCATGGTTCATACGGTTTTACCACAACAGGGAACTTTAATGTTAACATTTGCATTTTCATAAATCCGCTTTCTCATTTCCCAAGCTATTTATCCCAAAAAACAAAACAAACCCCACAAAAAACACATCACTAAATTGGGGGGATAGTTGTTTTTTTTTATTATTGCCATGTTTGAAAGATGAGGCTATACAAAAAGTCTGAATATATGGCTTACATTACAGTAGGATTTATTTGGCAGAACATATATTACAACATGACAAAGCAAATTAACAAAATAGAGGAATATGTAAAAATCCTAAAAATAGTGAAAAAGCAACAGCATTATAAAGTGTAGTTAGCACAAGCTAGATTTTACATAGTTCCTGAGGCAATTACAGAAGAATACTTTTCCTCTGCTGACAAAAGGTATGAACTTAGCAGCCATTTTAGATTTTCTGCAGTAATAAAATAATGTATTGCTTCGGAATACCTTCTTGGTGGTGAATATGATTTCTCTTGAAAGCTGTTCTTTTTCATAATTGCAAAATAACATTCCTGCTTGTAGCCCCTCCGTGAAACAAGCAAAGGATTAACCTCCAACACCTACTCTCCTGATTGCTATGTGCAACCAAAGCTGCCATCACATGGTGGCCTGGCTGTTACATGCTCTTCCAGGCACAAGGGTGACCTTGCAGGTTTATGCCTCTAAAGAAGGGAGGTAGGAGTTGTGCAGGAGCGAACTGTCTCAGAGGAAGCTGATTGGTTGGAAAAATCCCCCGGATCAACCTTCCCCTGAACAGTCTCAGCCAGGGTCAAGGAGGGAGCTACAAACATTAACATTTCCAGATTTGAATATGAATGTCTGGACCAAGCAGTCTGTAGGCCATTGCAGTTAGAGGTCATTTTGTGTGAATGAATTAGACTTCACCAGCAGATGAAGTCAGAAATGAGGGCTTCTATTTCATGTTTAATAGCGAGGAGAGGTGGGTGGGGGGGGTCTTGAAATTTTAACATTTCTGAAAGCCCTATAACAAATTTTTTTTTAATTTTTACCAATGGCCATTGTAGTGGTCACATTTTTTTCCTGAAGAGATACCACAAGATGTGGCACATTAAGTGGGATTTTATAACAGAAGTACTGACACAGGCAACATACCAAGACACGGATCTAGATTTATGGGATGGCTAATGCATAGCAATTTGAAATTTTTAATAGAAATTTACTGATAAATTAAAGGGAAGTTGGGGATATATATCGAAATGTCCTGAACATAAATGTTAAACTTAACCTACAAGTCTCCACGGGAGACAGTTATACTTTTGTATTCCAGATGGAAATTAAAATCTTTGTCTGCATTGAAAGCAGTTTATGACGTGTTGGCAAGACCACAGAAAACGAGGCTTCCGCTTGACACTTAGGGAAATCTACCAACTCTGATAGTAAGTGAGGTAAAGTAATGCAATAAGAATTGGAATACTAACCAGGGATCCCAGAACAAAAAGGACAGACACAGAACAGGGGCTCTCAACAGCTTTGCATACAAAGAAGACATAATTTTTCTTCATTTTTAAATATTTTAAACACTTGGAGGATACATTGACTGAAAAAGCACAAAACACAAAAACATTACAAATTCAACATTACTATTTTTTTTGTTTTTTTGTTTTAAGGTTGTTTGCAAAGAAAAAAAAAAAATGAAAAATGGGATTTTAAAAAGTCTATAAAATTGTGTGCAGAAAGTGTTGGCAGTACACAGCTTTGGACTGGAAACAGGAGAAGGTTCATTCTGCCACAATTCATACAAACCAGTATGTATAGGCAGCAATGCAGGCATTGTCCACAAAATACCTTGTGAGCTGCTCAGTTATTGCTTCAGTCTTCCATAATAGTGGAATTACCGGTTTAACGTGAGTCGAATAGAATTTTTAGTGACCCGTACTCTACTAGTTGGTACAGGTGAAGATGCATCAGGCAGCTCATTACTCTGTAGCCTCTAAAAACAGGAGAAAAAAAAAAAAGAAGAAGAGTTAACACAATGGTAGTGGTGCAATACAATATACAGCATTTTACAGTACCACTATAGTATAGCCCTTGTGTTCGTCAAATGGAAATTGGCTGAATTGTACACTTTTAAGTATCTATATTCAACACAGACAGGGTAATTGCAGTTAGATTAATCAAAACCGCTAAAATGTCAGACTGGACTCTTTCCTTCTCTTTTTCGATTGCGAGCTACGACAGTACCTTTTTTGGAAGGCAAGAAGCTACACTGACTAAAAGTGAGCAAACATCTGACCAGATATACAGATGACTTCCCTCTGTCTATTACAGCCCCAACCCCTTCCATTCCTCTTCTCTGCCTTCCACAAAAATTTGAATGTGCGAAATTTTGGCCATTCTACCAACGTAGCATTTGTGAGGTAGGGATTGGATGTTGGATGAGAAAAAAAAAAAAAAAAAATCGGACCTGCAACTTGTTGTATTTCATCCCAAAGGTGTTTAATAGGGTTAAGGTCAGGGCTCTATGTAGTCCCCTCGAGTTCCTCCATGTCCAACTCAACAAACCAAAAATGTATGGCCCTTGCTTTGTGCACACGGCACAGTCATGACAGAACAGAAAAGGGCCATAAAGGTTGGAAAACACAAAATTGTCTACAAACATAATTATTGTATTCATTGTAAAATCCTTTTTTGTTGCAGTCCTTTCAGAAGCAAAAAAGGAAGTCAAACCTTCAGGTTATGACTGAACAGGATCTGGCATCAACAGGATGACTGGATATTGGCAAAACAAAAAAGCTGTAGGCCAGCCCAGAATAACCCCTTCCAGTAAGAGCAGGCCTCAGTTTTTTTAGCAAAGCAGTAATAAGACTCCACTAGGCTGATGGAGGAAATGGTAAAATGAAAAGATAAATACGCCTCTTAATACATGAAGATGTAAACAATTCAAAGATCTAGGACTGTATTGCCCATATGTGTGTTAATAGGGGACATAAAGGAAGGAGAAGTAATGGGATAGAATAAAACAGAAGCATAGGAGAGGAGTAGAATGGGAGGAAGACCCTATAGAAGATAATCTTGTGAGATATAGACTTTTTTTTTAATGAAGCCTAAGTAGGGAGGGAGGGTATATGGGAAGTATGGGGAGGTGCGAGTAGATAGAGGGCCCTCTAGTAGTTGGAATGGAATAGGTGGTATAGGATAGGAGAGATGGAGGGGATAATGCTCTGGGGTGAGAGGAGGGAGAGAGGGAGGAAGGGAAAGGGATAGAGTAAATGTGGGGGATCACAAATAGAAAAATATAGAAAAATATAGTAGGATATACATTTATAATCACTCTTAGAACAATTAGAGAAAGGAGGACCACAAGACACATCTACACTAGAAATTCATAGATCACAAAAGAACACACAAAATAGTAATTAGATAAATAGATGGAATAGAAGATTAAAATGACATAACACTAAATAAATAGGACACCGAAAAATTATATTTTATAGACATATATATATTCACCCTAATGGCAAGGACATTTTAGATAATGTACACAAAATTGCACATAGCACTAAAGTGTATAACTGAAGAAAATAAAAGATCACAGGGGGAGGGGGTGAATAGGATAGGGAAGAAGGTAACCCTCCCATGGACCCCACAGGTCCCAGAGATAAACCCTAGTGGAAGACCCCCTAGAAAAATTTGGAACTATAGAGTGATGGATAGAGAAAATAATGGGTTATCAAAGAAGGGGAAAATAACAAAATTGCTCTTGGTTGGAAACCTGAGAGGGGAAGGAACAACATAGTGAAAGAGAGGGAGGGTAGATGGAAGGAAAAGGTGTCAATAGTAAAGGATATGTTGATTGTGCAAGTATGGTACTAGTTAGAGAAGAATGTAAAATACAAGGTCTCAATGTTTTATTGCGAATATTGTTTTGTATGTGAAAAATCTGAAATAAAAAAAAAAAAAAAAAAAGGAGGATGGCATCAGAGGAGGTCTGAGCATCCACCTGAAGTTCAGATAGCAGCCGTGCAAATCTGCAAAACGACGCTGAAAAGCCCACAAAGCACCTTCAGATCTAGTAGTGTGCCTTGAAAAAAATGGGGGGGCGGGGGGAGGCACAATCTTGAGACCATAGACTTGGATAATGGTCTACCTCAGCCATCTAGAAATTGTGGAACAAGAAGCTGATGCACTATTACGGGGTCCATCCAGGATTGCACAGCATGGGCCACAGAGAAAATGGAGGGAAATTTCCTTTTGGTAAAATGAAGCCACACAGGAGGGATGGAAGAACTATATCCTAGTTGACGTAAAAAGCAAAGACTAGCTTCAGCAAGAAGGAAGTCCTCGTCCTCAACACCAGCTTGTTCCTATGCAGAATAGCACCGCTAGTTCAGATACTCGCCTCCTTGAGGTGATGTCTACAGGAAAAACAAACTCCTAGTCAAATGTAGGTTTACATTACAACAGGAGGCTGTCAAAGTATCCAATAGTAGGAATGGCAAGACAATGCAGCAGAGCTAGTATAGGAGCCAGCACCTTGGCGAATACCCGAGGTGCAGGCAAGGGCAGGGCCATGAACACCATGTAGGGGTCCCCATGGCAAAACAGAGGTATCGCTGGAATTGTGGGGCCATGTAGGTACGTTTCTTTCACAGCTACAGAACCCAGAAAAGGGTGGATTTTTTAGACTCATTCCCATCCTAGATTAAAGCTCTAAATGTGTAACGCCTCCATTGGGCTTGGTAACAGTGAACAGGTTGGAGTAAAACCCTAGAACTATTCTGCCAGAAGAACTGTGGTAATGGACACCTTGATTTAGAAGAACAGAGCTTGCTGAAAATGTGCTAATCTGTGCAGTGTCACAGGAAGGTTGGAGGTGATAAACCAAAGAGGGGGCAGGGAACAAAACTAGGCTAGTAGCCCTGGGAAACCACCTCCTCCACTTAAGCATCTGAGATGCAAGCTGTCAAAGCATCTGCATGAAGGTCTGCCCCCACTTTCTAAAGTGGGGAAATGTTTAACCTTTGCAGAGGAAGGCTTGTCTGAGGATTTTGCAGATTGAGTGCTAGACCTTGCGGGTGTATGTGAAAGAAAGCTAAGGGTATCTCAAAATGGTGGTGGACGACAACTAGATGGGATGGTTCTTATAGAAGGCTTATTTAAGGAGCGAGAAGACTGCTCCTTAAGCTTTTTCCACCGAGGATCACTTCTGACTTTCTCAGCGGTCTTTCCCTAGCTGGAGAAGCTGGGGAAGAACCTCATCAAGCATGATCTGCGCTGGATCAGTTTTTTTTTTTTTTTTTATATAGTGCAAAGGCGACTTAGGGGTCTAATACCCCTGTCACCTTACAGAGACGGTGTCACCTCCAATGTGCCATCACGTAAGGGACTTGTGATTTCTCCCCTCCCCCCCATGTGATAGTACTGGAGTTAGGAAAAAAAAAAACCCCCAAAAAATTTGGAGCACCATATTTCTTTGCCATTCCACCGGTGCACACAATTTAAGCTTGGCATGTTGGGTATCCATTTACTCTTCTCCTGTTATAAAATGGGTATTCAATTGTGTTTGTGCACAAAAATTGAAATACTTTTTTTTAATGAAATTATGGATTTGATAAAGTTGCCCTAAAATCATGCGACCATTTTACGCTACAAGGTTTGGGCTTTCAGGAAATATAATCTCCTTTTAAGGCCTAAAAGTTACTTAAAACCCCCCAGAGTTTTAGAAAGTGGGCAAACCAAATACCAAAAACTGCTCTGGCAGCGAATGGGTTAGTCACAGCCAACTACTCCACTCACTCATTCTACAAGTGAGGATTCAGGAGTCGCAGCACCAGTTAATTCTCTTTTAAGGGATTTTGAACACTCAGACATGGCTTGACAAAAGTAAGGCCACAGTCAGAAATCGGATGAAGGGCAGGAACCACCAGTGAGAACAGAGCTCTAGAAACAGAGAAACGTCTTCCAACTGTTTATCGGTTGGGTGCTTAATTCCGGGTAAACCCTCTACCAGAATGGAAAGCACCCTCTAAAGTGGGACGCTGTCAGCTCTACAGTAGCGAGGATTGTGCTCAAGTGAACTATCCCCAAATCGGTACAAAGCCAATAAAAGTTTGGGTGGCGCAAACAGCTTGACAAGATTGTTTTTAATCTCCATAAAGAAAAATAGTTGGAAAAGTGGGAGCAAAAAGGGAGTCTCTGCAGACCTTAGGAGTATTAAATGCTCCAAGACTGGAAACACTGGTAGATGCATTCAAAATGAATGGCACTGCATTAAACACATGCCTGGTGTACTACTATGTGCTTACTGCAGTAATGTTTTATGTGCTTGCTGTGGTAACGTGCGTTTTACAGCAATGCAGAGGTGTACAGCCAGCCTTAATGAGCAGTACCTGTGATCTACAGCGTTCAATAGTTGGAATCGGCATAGCTTCTGTGGTGCTCTTTTCCTACATAAACAAAAAAATAAAATAAAGAATATTGGGAGTAAGAAGTAGATCTACACAAAAAAAACCAAACAAATTCTGTAATTAACCGTAAAATCTTTTTCTCTGCATTCATTGGAGGACACAGCACACACCCCATCTGGATTACTCCTGCCACATGTGGAAATACTTTGTTACATGACATAGCACTGCAAACAACAGAGTAACAGCTGCGGAGATGGTGTTGGCCACTAGCAGGGGCTACCCTCTGAGCGGTAATTTTTTTCCCTCATGTAGTTTAGAATCTAAAGCAGAGCTGTGTCCTCCAAATGAACAAAAGAAAAAAACAGGACTTTGTAGTTCTGCAAAATCAGTTTCCTGAAGTTTGCTTAAAGGACACATGTAGTCTGAGAACTGGGTTATAGTGCCTTCTTCATGAGAAATTGGACCATGGCAATCAAAAAGCAGTTGGCCAGCCAGGTATACCCCTCCCAATTCCAGCATGCGTCATTTTTGTAGAAAAGCAGTGATCACCTCAGTAGAAACTATTTTAATGGATTGAGGTAGCGTTGGTAAGATAAAAAACACAAGTAACCCCAATGTACACACATGCTAGAAATCCTCCCTGTTAGTCTGACATACCTGATGATTTCATGCAAAACATTTGGATTTGAAAGGTGATGTTCAAACCCCCAGAACGAACATGAGGCAAGTGTGACTTTTTGGAGCAAGCAAATAGAGAGTCCCACCACACTCCTGACAGAGAAGCCCCATATAATGGGGGGGGGGGGGGGGACTGTAGTGGCCGCGGATGGCGCCGCCAAATACATGCAAAACAGAAAAAAATGGTCACCAGCACTCAAGTTTTCTTCAAAACAAAAGCCCTTTATTCATTCTTGCAGGTCATATCACAACGCGTGGCAACGTTTCTAAACCTGTCCGGTCCCTTCATCAGGCAAACAAAAGTGATAAAAGTACAGAAAAAAATGTTGACAGTGTAAAAATTGTCAACCCTTTTTCTGGATTTTTTTTTTGTTACCTTTTATTTGACTGATGAAGGGACCGGACAGGTTCCGAAATGTTGACATGCATGGTGATATGACCTTCAAGAATGAATAAAGGGATTTCGTTTTGAAAACTTGGAGTGCTGGTGACCACTTTGTTTTTGGAGCAATAACCCTAAAAATCTGCTGTTGGAAAAATGGCAATACCACCTTGATTCAAAAAGAACTGCCACCTGCATGGTTAATAATGCATTTTAATAGCACTGAATTGACTTTGTTGGAACCTATATGTAAAGAATGTAACCTGAATACTTTTCTGCACTGCCCTTATGTATTGTGTAAATTTTTGAAATCTGAAATAAAGAATTTATAAAAAAAAAAAAGAAGAACTGCCACAGCAGCATGGAGGTCTACTCACCTGTGCATACACACAGGTAGGTTGGACAACCTGAGTGGGGCAGGGGTAGAGAATCAAACTCTGGCTTCTAGCCTTTGAGCACCACTTTCCTTGGCTAGATCTCCAAGGTGCTTTGTAACTAGGTGTCTGTAAAGGCCAACAGATAGCAGCAGCCCTCAGATATCCCCCACTCTGGAAAGTGGTGGCCACCCTTCATGCTAAAGAGGACTTCTGTGGGTTTGGTGTTTGGTTTTTGATTACCAAGGCCTGTGTGAACTGGACTCCTTGTTTAGGTTTGGCCCTGGAGGTTGAAGCTCGGTAAAAAGCAAGAGCTCTTCTTGTGGGGAGGGGCAAAAGAGTAATCTTGCCACCAATAACAAAATTGTAAAAAAAAAGGTTTTCAAGTGGACAGAAGACATCCAGTCTCCTAGTACACCATCAAGAAATTGAAGCATGCTGGGACTGTTATACCTGGCTGGCCAATGGCATTTGTCTGCTAGTAACCCAATGCCACCCGAAGGCAGCAGTATAACCCAATTGTCTCAGAATAACTAAAGCCTGTATTCCTTGAAGAAATGTAAAACATACACAATACTAATATTGGTGCCGACAAGAGTATTTGGGCACCCAAATGCTCCGATACCTTCCCTCTGAGATTTTTGCTGACTGGCAGTGCAATAAGCAGGCTCCATGCTGTTTGGCTGACTCGATGCAGAGTGGCTGGGAATAGCCAACTCCATGCTAGCGGAAGTACCAGTACTCTGAGTACCAAAAGTTAAGTGTTGGCACTTATATTATAAAGAAACTGAAATCTTCCTTACCACAGCTTTGCCCTGGTCGTCCTGTTCAGGCTCCACAAAGGCAGACTCTGACAATCCTAGAAGCTAGGGAAGAAACCAAGGCACAAGATCAGGACATAGTAACTGTAAATACAAACATTTATGTTATGAATGGGAGTCATTTGATACAGTAACTCCTCTGCTGCCTTATTGATGAAACATTTTAAAAAGTGAACCCTAGTCAGGATAAAAACTGCCCGAAAAAAGAAAAAAATATTGTCTAGTTATATGTCCTTGGATTAGGTTTGTTAAATGCTAGGTGGAAGTTTGTGTTGAAGGTCAGGAGCCATTGTGTTTATTTACAGCTCACACACTGATTGTTACTGAATTTGTTTGGACTTTTTTTAAGCCAGCCTTAAGCTATATATGTAGAGTGCTACTTTGCTGACCTCCCCTTGAAAATGCAAATGTCTGGCTTAAATGGACACTAGGCAAAAAATTGTTTAAAAAGGACGTAACTCCTCCCACCTCACATATGCCAGTTGTAGGAAGCATGAAAAAGGAAATGAGGGGACGGAGCTGTGTCCCTCAATGGATTCCTAAAAGGATTTTACTGTAAGAAAATCCTATTTTCCCCAGTGTTCATTGGGGGACACAGCTCGGAAGAATTCTGCGACGTAAGGACTTGCAAAGCAATCCAAAAACATAGGACCAGGCATCATAAAAACTAGCTCATATACTCAAAATGACTGCCTGCAGAGCTTCTCTGCCAAAACTAGCATCAGAAGAGGCAGAAACATCAACTTTATTTAAACAAAAAACATAGCAAAAGTGTCAACAGAAGACCAAGTTGCAGCCTTGCAATTTGAGTAAAAGAAGCTTGATATTGAAATGGCCAAGAAGTACTAACTGCCCTAGAAAAATGAGCAGAAACAAGGAAAAAGGAGGAACCTTGTCCTGCAACTCAAGCTTGCATGACATCCTGACAAACCCACTTAGCAATAGTGAATCTAGAAGCTGAACAACCTTTTCTAGGACCTTCAGGTAGAACAAATAAAGAATCTTAAACACCTAAAGGGAGATGTAGCAGACAGGAGCTGGACAAAATTAAAAAAGGTAAAACAATGTCTTCATTTAAATGAAAGGCAGAAACCACGTTGGGTAAAAAACAAAACCCTTGTCAACCAAATCGGGTTGGTTCTCCACAAAACTAAGTAGACAACTCTGAAACCATTCTAGTTGAGATTATGGACACAAGAAAGGCAACCCTTTTAAAGAATAAAAGACAAAATAAATATGTCTCATATTAGGTTCAAAAGGAAGTTTTTGTAAAACACATAATACCAAGTTCAAACCACACAGAAGAAGCGAAGACCTAGCAGGAGGAGCCACAAGTGGAACTCCCTGAATAAAAGTACTAACCAAGGAATTAGAAGCAAGAGGACATTGGGGAAAAAAAAAGGGACTTACAAGGCAGATATGGGACCCTTTATGGTACTGACGCTGCTGTGACATGAAGCTGGAATGCAAAGAACTAAAGGAATATGAAAATATATTCTGAAATTTGGGTTCTCAAATTCTGCAAATTCCATCAGGCACCCCCACCAGACATAGAAGAGGCAGGAACAGACCTTCATACTAAAGTGGACTTTTTAACTGCTAAAAAAGGACATCTAGGAGGGTCCAAAGGTTTTCAAAATATTTTTTGGAAACCAGGAACTAAAGAAACATGAAAAGGAGAAGGCTTAGAACGCCGATACCTATTTTTCCACTTCAGAGGTAAGTGTTCACGTTTATCTCCTGTAGTTTTTTTTTTAATAATCTAAATCAAAAGGCAACTTCAAAAAGACAACCTCATTTAAGGTAAAATGCAAAAGTCCTTTTCTGCCAACCAGCACTTAAACTAGATAGCTCTGCGTATCTGAATGGAAGAGACAGACACACAAAACAGCATCAAGAAAACACAGGCGACTGCTGGAGGTGAATCACCTCCAGCAGTCGCCTGTTCTGTACTGAAACATTCTGTCCAAGTAGCCAAAGTCTGTGAAAAAAAGGACTGTAGCCAATAATGGTTGAAGAGCCAAACAAGTTAATGAATAAATGGTAGATTTTAGATCGTAAGCCCTCACGGGTAGGGCCCTCCTTACCATCTTGTCTTAAATTGTATTGTGACTGTAATGTCTTCCTTATATTGTAAAGCGCTGTGCAAACTATTGGCGCTATAGAATTCCTGTATAATAAAAAATGGTAAAGAAAGATTCTCCTTTTTTCTTTCTTTTGTTAGTGGGATCACTAAACTACAGGTGTTTCATGAATAGGAATAGTCAGCGCCTTGTTAAGACGAGAAACAGGATCAACTTCGGGAGGAAAATACCATTTTTTCCACAAATCATCTGGAAAATGACAGACTTTAGGAACTAGAAGTTGCTTATCCAGAATTTCCCAATCCTTACATAAAAACATAGCAAAAATAGGATGAGAGGAAAAACCTAGCAGACACACTCGGGTTTATGTGAACCTAGAAAAGAAATCGCAGAAGGAAAAACTAGCAGTAGAATCCTCTAATTTTAAAGAGGAATGCACAGCCTCAATTCAGAAGTCAACCAGCTACTGCATCAATGAAATGGAATAGTGTTAATGACAAGTATACATTAGGTGTATTGTATTCATGAGCTGAATCTATGTGCTATATTCCTTAATCAAGGAAGGAACGCGTGTGCACCCTAGACGCCTACATAAGTGTCTAGCCACTGTAACATTTACGAGCGCTGGCACTCCTTACTGAGTGAAAACTATGTCTTCAGTATTCAGAAAAGGGCGGGAAAAAAAAAAAGTTAGTTTTTCCCAGAAAACGTGAGCAGAAAAGGAGAGCTCCCCATGGGGCCAGCTTGTGAAGTATATAGCACAGGTTACTATAGCAACACCTCAGAGGCCTTATGTACAGGCCACTTATGACTCGAGGAACTAGAAACAGTGACACCAATGTAAAAGCACAAATCTCAAAAGGTTTCTGAATAAAACCAGTACCTGGACACAGTAGGAAAGTTTATAAAAATAAATAACTTGCATACAGTACCCTACTAATGACAGAATCTGATAATTCTGCCTCAGATTCAGACAATACTCTTGGCCCTGAACGGTGTAAGGAGAACTACCCCAACTAAAAAAAAAAAAGTACCAGAACCACCTGCAGCAAACACCAGAATAATCGAAGAATGGCTGCGTAATAGTTAATAGTAGCACTCTATTCTCTCCAATATGAGACATATTATGGAGCATAAATAAGAAACAAAAAGCTCAGCTCTGTCCAACTTAACCACTAATAGAATTGCACTCCACTGCTCTGGGGAAACCAGAAGAAATGGACAGTGCATGCATAACAGATAAAAACAAATGCATCATTAAATTGGAGTCCCAGCCTCTTAAAGAGACAGCAGATTTAAATGAAAAAAATCAGTCAAACTCCATGTAGCCAAAAATCACACTGACCAAGATAAGATAAAAAAAAAAAAAAAAAAAAAAAAAAAAAAAGAGGAAA